CCCCCCCCCCCCCCCCCCGCTTTCTATTTATTGTCTTTGTGCCGTTTCATGCCGTCCACCAATCAGATGCAGCCCCTCAGCCGATGTGTTGGCAGCGGCTTTATGAGGCTTATGTAACGTCCATTGGCGAGACGTCCGTCAGCCATCCGAGCTGCAGGGCTGCGACTGTAATCTGCAGCTGGAAACTCCTCCAATGTCACATTCATCCACCTGCTCACCAAGTACTCCAGTACTTTTACTTTACTGGATTCTATATTCATCAGACAGCTGGAGTTGGTTTTTGACTGTAAAGAGACAGATCGGATGTTTAGGAGTGTGTTTGTGCGAGGTTCTTCTCTACAGTCAGAGTTCTACTACAGTAGAGTTATAGAAACACACAAAGTAATGTAGACTTTCATATTGGATCATATTGGTTTTAACTAACATGAGGTTTAGTAGCACACGCTACCAGTCCCAGCTGTGGCCACATTGGTACAGCGGTCTCTTTGTGAGGCATTGCTCGACCGATGTACCTTTATTGTTTGTGTGTCATTTTATGTATTTGTCTCTCTGGACCCTGAGTCTGAAATAAAGTCTATATCTATCTCTCTAATGTTCTGCTGAGGACGTATTTTAGACTCTAGAATTTACTCTAGTTTACAAAAAGTTACATTAACTTTAGTGTTCGTCGTGTTCATGTTTTTGATTTGAAGTGTTTTAAATCCCTCGTTTACTAACTCCGTCTTCTTCTTCTCTCCCGTCTTTGTCGGCAGCGTCTCTGTGTGGAACAAACAACGATTAGTTTCATCCATTAAATCTGTTTCCTCTGCTATGACATGTACAAATGTCTGCTGTGAGTCCTTGAGTCCTTTCCTTAACCCCTGTTTCCTCTCTCCTCCAGCGGACGCTTCCTCAGCTTCATACTGAAGATAGAAGAAATGCTTCACAGCTGGTTCCCTCACATCACATCAGACCCGACGCAGACGGACGGCGGCTCTCCTGCTAAGAAGCAGAAGGTGAAGATTTGTTGTCACATGACTGTTGGTCTCAGATGAATCAATCATGACGTCATAGTTTCACACTTTAATGTTTCTACACACTCTGGTTAAAGTGAACGCTTTATTAGAGGAGACATTTATAATGACAACATGAAGAATAACATGTTTGAGGAAATATCACATTTTTAATCTTCATTTCGTTTTATTATAGAAGTGTTTGTCACACGTGATGTGTTCAAGGACCGTCGGAACGATGTAAATCCGACGATAAATACAGTATTCAGTCATGTTTAAAGCAGCTTCTTAAAATGTGAAACTGTTCCTTTGACGGTAAAACTAATGTTTGAGTTTTGAACTGTTAAATGTCCCAATGAGCTCCGAGAACATTTCATAAAAGATCCTTTGAAGAATAAAATAAGCAGCCCTAAAATACATCAGAGTAAGATAACAATCCTGCACGCTGAAGGTAATCTTGTGATTATGGTCTCTGAGGAACAGAAGCACCTTATGTAACAGAACGATGAGTTCATGGTTTCATAAGAAGAGTAGAAGTCACACGATGAGGGGAAAACCAGAGCGGCCTCTCAACCATCTGTGGAGTAAAGTCACGTTCATCCAGAGTCCACTGGAGGAGGTCCAGCTGCTCTCAGATCAGCACCACAAATCAATTCTTTCTTTGTTTGTTGTTGTAATATTCGTAGACTGTTTACATTTCTCATCTTTCTGATCGTAGCCGTCGTTGCTTTTACTTTTCTTTGAGTTGATAAAGTCACGTATTCTTGTTGTTTTACTGAAGACTGGATTATTTGGGTTCATCAATCTTTGATTGCTTGTCCAGTTTCTCAGATAGTTGTTTATTTAAATTACTGATACAACATATGTGGTTCAATAATTATGTTAATTCAGTTTGAGTTTAAGTCGTTTGTCTTCCACCAGGAATATGATTCTGTGGTTTTAATTTGTTTTAAACGTTTGTGTTTAAGTCGTTTGAATTACTGTAATCTCAATGGGACCTATGTGGTTAGAGAACGGTTCAATAATAATTATATTAATAATACGCAATTTAAAACAATTGACTGAAACAATGTTGTTGGTTATCACCGACAGTCACATATTGTGTAATATTTATTGTATGTAAATTTATTTTTGCTTGTTTTAACTACAGTCTTTAGTGAAAGGCTTGTTGCTCAACATCTTAACATTTAAACAATTTATTTACTTTTAATTGATTTAAAGGGACAGTGTGTAGGATGTGGTGACATCTAGTGGTGAGGTTGCAGAAGGTAACGTGAGCCTGCCGACGGTAAAGCCGTGGTAACGGTACGCTCTGAGGCCATCCATCCCATAATAACACCACTTTAGGAACAACGGAGGTCAGCCGGCGGCACCACGGCGTTAAACTCTGGAGCTCACGTTACCTCAGTTTTCAAAGAGAACTACGGTGGCCTTCAGGTGACATAAAAACATGAAAGACTCCGTTTGGTTTGTCCGTTCTGGGCTTCTGTAGAAACATGGCGCCTCCCGCTCCGTATGTAGATATGAAGGGCTCATGCTAGGCTACAGAAAACACTGATTCTTAGTTTCAGGTTATTCTACACTAAAGAAAACCTAAATATTATGTCACTGATGGATCCTCTGAACGCTGTGGTACTGATGCGATTCTTCTTCTCTCCTGCAGCATCACGGTGGCGCCTCCTCTCCTCCTCCATCCTCTGCGGCGGCACTCTGCTCCTCCGACTCCTCCAGGCGGCGCCACGCGTCAACCGTCCTGAAGACGCCCGAACCGACACCCGGTCGGCCCGCCGCCTCCTCCGCCCCCACCTCCCCTCCGCCCGCACGCCGCAGCATCAGCAGCCAGGAAGTGACCCAGGACGCCGCCGTCTCCTCCAGCACCGACTCGCACTCGGGGCCATCACCGCCACCGCCCTTCAAGATCCGCTTGCCGTGTCTGGAGAGACTCCTGCAGACCAAGGAGAGCGTCGTCTCTCCTCAGGACCGCGGGGGACGGAGGCTGGTGGTCCTGAGAGAGGACTCCTCGTGAGACCGGATCTCATCGTGGCTTCCACAGAAGAAACTACAAGGCCTTAAAAAAAACGCATGTTTCAAAGTCTTCTACATCTTTTGTGTTCGTCTTGTTTTTTTAATTGACGCTCAGATGTCAAGTTCTCCAGCAGAAGAGAGTCGGCGTGTGATGAAGACGTGAACGACGGGTCAGAAAACAAATGTTAAACGTCTTCACTAATATTTGCGTTCATCTTCTAATGAGGTCAGAGGTTAAAACTATGACGGCAGATTTATTTCACGAGCTGAAGGCTTCTTCTCTTTGACACCTTGGTTGATCTGCTTCTCTTTAGATTTTTTTTAAACATTCCTCTACCTCATGCTGACAAACAACACGGTTTGACCCCGTCAGGACACCGTTCCTGTCGGGTCAGAACAAACTAAACTCAGCATTTCCTTCTTTTACAGAAGATACCATGATGTGGAAAGAAGTCTTTATTTTTAATGAGCTTGGAATCTGCAGTTTTTTTTTTTTTTTTTTTTTTTTTAAAAAGGTGCAATGTTTCTCGAACAAGTGGAACCTTCAACACTAAAGACTTTGATCCGTTTGTCTTCTTTCAGGCCGCAGAACAGAATCACACAGACCCAGAGAGGACGTTTACAAACGTCTCCCACCATTTAAAAGATGGGTTTGGATTTCAGTTAATGTGAATACAAAACTCACAGTAATCTATAATTCATCTTCATAAATGCTGTGAGGACACAATTCATCTTTGTTCTAGTCGTCCGTTATATCTAATGCTGCTGTTTTGGTTTAACTCATTAACTAACGCAGGTTCACAGAGTTTGCCGTTTGACAAAAACATCCAAAAAAAATATATTGACATGCAAATGAATGGAGTGTAAAGTCCTTCACAGTGACCGAGTCTTTCAGAGTACCGAGATAGAAACCCAAACCTCCTTTAACCGGAGCCGGCGGTCTGAACACTAAACTCAGACGTGTAGAAGCTCTTTCCTTCGTGTAAATAGTTTCTCCTCGTGAGAGACGGCCTTTGTGATATTTTGTACTTCTGAAATAAATGTCTGAGGAAACGTTCGTCTTTCTTTAACAAACACACGACAGCAGATCAGTTGTGCAGCATTTATTGTTGTTTAATGCTTTGGGAAACTCGGCATCGGCCATGAACACAATAAATATGGATATTATGCAAAACATTTTCCTAATGAAGCATTTTACACAATGTACAATATTCTTTTCTTCGGCCGCCTGCTTGAATATTTTATACACATTTCCAAACTAATAAACAAACCTCCATGCAGAAACCCTGAAAATGGGATGTGGAGTAATGAGCAACCAAAGAGTTAACACTAAACACACTTCTCGCGTGGATTGTTGTCATTTAAAAACTGCTAATAAACCACCAGGAGAACTGAAACTCTGCTGTTAAAGTACATAAAATGGGTTTTTAAAAAGTGGCCCGCCTGCTCGGGAGTTTTCCTTCGACTGGTGCAGCGATGGTGTTCAGACAATACAGTCACCCGTGTGTGTGTGTGTGTGTGTGTGTGTGTGTGTGTGTGTGTCAGTAGTCCGTGTCGGAGCCCTCCGCGTTGTCCACGTTCCTGGACAGCATGTAGTTGTCCATGTCGATGGAGCGGCAGTTGTTGATGGCGTAGCGCAGCCGCTCGGCCATGACGGCCTGGCTGGAGTACGGAGGCAGACGCAGCTGGAAGAAGCAGGTCTGAGAGGTCGGCAGGCTGTCGTACGGCTGTGGAGGACGGACGGACACACACACACGCACACACACACAGAAACAAACAGTTAAGTCATCAGACGGGTTTCTAACTAACAGCCTGTTGTTCACACAGAGGATGACCTCACTGAGCTTCCAACAATGAAATGAACACGATCGACAGCAACATTGATGTTTAAAATGTCAAAGCAAGCGCTTCCTAAACTATTGAGATGGTAAACATCGTTATACGAGTGGACAAAGAGACGTCCTGACAGCTGAACGGTTTCCTGTCTGCATCTTTACCGTCTGATTTAATAAAAAACATGCAAAGAAAAACAAAGGTGTGTTTCTGTTCTTCCATGTCAGCTGCACAAACCTCAAATGTTCTGCATATGGTGAGTAAGCGATGCATTAAACATGACTCGTGACTCACCCGGTCCACCTTCATGATCTGAAACCTCTGGGAGATGTCGGCCGTGTTGGCGGGCAGCCGGGAGCGTCCGGAGACGAAGCGCATGAAGAGGACCCGCTCCTCGTTGGAGAACTCCTCCAGCGTCTGCCAGAACCACTGCACCAGGGAGTGCTGCTCGTCCACCTCCCTGTAGCGCACCACCTTCTTCAGCACGTCGCAGCAGATCTCCGGCATGCCGCACACCATCTGCTCCAGCTGCTTGGCCGTCAGCAGGGAGAGCAGCGGCACCGGCACGATCCACGACATGCCCTCACGCACCGCCGCCACCTGAGGGGGAAGGTGAATAGAAATGTTTGAGGTGCTCAAAGCAAAGAAAAGTGTTGAAGTAAAAGACTCTGCATCACGAGTACCAATACTCTGGTACTGCAGTACCATCTTTGATCAAGTTGTGCCAGAGTATAAGTACACAGACTGCGTACCTGTCGGTCGAGCTCGTGCAGCCGGTACTCGATGGCTCGCTCCACGTACTCCTTCCTGTTGGAGAAGGTGAGCGGGATGCTGTTTCCTCCGGGGATGATGGGAACCATCTTGCCATCGGCACTCTGCCCGACGAAGGAATCCAGAGGAATCATCTGAGAGGCAGAGAGTAACGCAACATGTTTCACTACTCATCGAGACGACTAGAAACACGACAACAATGACTACAGACGACGATGCACGAGAGCCTCCTCATTGAACAGACAGCATCACATATCTCTGATATCTCTCCAGCTACATATGTATTTAAGGATTTATATAATTTTATTGCAACATTATGAACATCCGGACCTCTCCGGTTTCTTGAGTCAAAACTGAACAGAGAAGCAGCGTTCAGGTTGAATGATGTTTAATTCATCTGGAGAGAACTCTTCTTTTAAAGACTTTCCTGTTCTCCGTTCTCTCTGAAATCTCTTTCGTTTCTCTGAATAATATTTATTATGTCGTTCGTGGCAGTTTGAGCTCAGTGGTCACAAAGGTCAAATGTGACCGCGATGTTTTTTACAGGAGAACTCTGGTGAACGTGGTTTAAGCTTCGTCTGTACTCGCTCTCAGCGCCGTAGCGTGAAGTCGTTTCTACTCAATCAAAAGACAACTAGTGGAACTCAGAGACAGGAACAGACTGGAGGTGTAACCGGCTACACGTAATAAACTGACCTCCACAATAGAGAGGAGGGATTATCATTATCTGTAAACTCTTTATTGTCCCTATAGAAGCCATGCAAATAAAGAAGTCAAGTATTAAAAGCCTCATAAAGAAATAAAGGTTGAATATCCTGTAAACTATTTGATTTGGCTGCAAAATATTTATTCAAATGAAGAGTTTTAAGAGTTCTTCTAAAGCTTCTAAAACGTTACAAACACTCGGAGGTGCAGCCCGATGCAGCGGCCATGATGACATCATTCTGTGTCTCTTCACTGCGGAGAGAATAAACTGAGCTTAAATGACCTCAAATGTAGTTTGAAAGTTCTCGTTACTCATCAGCGAGCTCATATCTGTAGAGTTACTGGTCTCTCGTCAGTATGTTCAGTCTCTCTATGGTCAGGCAGAAACCAAAAGTTTCATGGAATTGTTGAATAATCAGTCAGCGAGAGCGTTTCTCTCTTTGACTGAATGAACGATTCAACAGATCGGCTACAAAACCCTCAAATTAAATCACGTATTCACGGTTCTGTCAACAACAGATTATAATATCATGGTGAGACATTTGACAGCTCGTCTGGCAGAATTCAATCCAAAGCCAGCAGAGGAGCAGCTGTGTGTGTGTGTGTGTGTGTGTGTGTGTGTGTGTGTGTGTGTGTGT